AATCATTGTTGGAAACGCATTGTATATTGTTGTCAAAGCAACACTATCAACGTCCTGTCGTACAATCACTTATTCGTATAATCTAATATAATGCAATCAGGGGTTCAGAACAACATCAAAAAATATGAGTTCGCATATTACACGCGTTAATGGCCTTTAAAATCGGTTTTAGAAATTATACGGGTAGACGAATATCATATTGAAGACAAAAAAAAAAAAATGTTCGTGTTTTGAAATTATTCATGTAAAGTCAATGATTCGAAAAAAAATGTACTTACCTTCGAAAATGATAAGAATATTTCGACAGGTGTAAAACGCCGACGAGATTTAATCTTCGAAAATTCTTTCATCTACAAATTTTACTACGGGTGTTTCGTGTATGAAACCGAATTTAAAGCTTACGCTTTTATTTCGAGTAAACACGCGTTTGCCATAATGTCCGTGCGACAGAGACAGAGACTCCGAACCCTACTGCGACGGCCTTTTCGGTCTTTAGACTGAATCCGAAAAAAGCGGTCTCGCGCACACTTCGCGCCGTATCCAAATCGGACGTAGACGGACGGACAGTATCGGTGTGAAGCGCGACGCTGCGCGCTACGCGCGGTTTCGCGGGCAACAAGACGTCCGTTTCGAATCCTTTATATCGATTCGTTTTTGAATCCTGAATGTGTCCGGGAGGTCCGTGTCGGATGCAGCGGCGGCGCGAACGGGTCGGGACTGCGGAACGTCCGTCGCGAATCGGGCAGGCGAACGGACGCGCGTGCCGCCGTAAGACGACGCCGTAACGGAAAAAAAGCGCCGCGCGAGGACGGGCCGGTATAATCGGCTCCTGATATCCGTCTGGGGCCGGGAAGTCACGCGGTAACGTCCGAAACTAAAACCGCCCCCGTACAGAGTAAAACAAAACCCCGCGCGGTCACCGTGTGCTTCGGATTTAACGGATTGCGAATAATCGATATGAATATAAATATAAAAAAAAATGTAGCACGGGTACGCGCGCACTTTCTCATCACGACGCGCGTGAGAATCCGCCACGATGAACAGTTCGTTATAATATTACTGCCTCCCGAATCAAAAAAAAAAAAAAAAGAAAAAAAGCAAACCGTCCTCGAAATTTATTATCCCGCCGTAAACGTCCGTTTCGCAGACGTCACAATAATATTATTATAATAAGTATAACGTACGCGTATCGCAAATAACGGTATAACGCGCGCGTAATTATATATTTTTTCCCCGAGACAATAATTTATCGGCCATTTTCAATAGTTCACATTTGTGCGATTTATCGTGTAGCGGCGGCGGGCGAACCCGATCCACGTAACCCAGTTCCGAATGAATTATCCGCCGACGACGGCGTCCGGAACGTCACGCGATGCCGAGTGAACGGATAATTTTCGATGGTCGAAAATTACCGTATAATCAAATGTGTGTGTGTGCAAAAAAAAAAAAATCGGCCTGTAGATAAATTACAAATTTCAAAATATAAATCTGCAGAACGGTCCGTGTATCGCGAACCGGGGATTTCAAGCGAATTCGTAATTTCTATCGTTTTTTCTTTAGTCCGAACATTATGACGGAATCGTAATTTATTTTAACATTATAGGTTCGATCCTACGCCCCTGTCCATTATGGCCTATGAAGCTGATCTACAACCAAGAACCGATAGCAAGGTCTTTTCACGACTTACAAAATGAAACGTGTTTGAACATTTTCGATCGAAAAGTGGTCAAGTAATACGGCTTTATAATTTGAATGAAAATATTATGAAAACTTCATTCGTATAGATTTCAACAAATGCGTTATTAATGTAAAATTCCACCGGTAAAACGTATATACTTTTGTTTGCGATTTTTATGAAAAAACTATGTACAACCTCGTAGCTTTCGAACTTAATGAGTAAACGTGATTTAATTGAATTGTAAGCAGTTTGGGCAAGTTCGTGGCCACGAGAAAGCAATATTCAGTCTTAATTCGAAAGAAAAAAAAAAAAGCTAAAAATCAAAACGGCCTAATAAACATACTATCGAAAATATTATCGGTTCGAATCTGTGCTTAAAAAGAGGGTTCTGATTTGTAGATCAAAAGTACTAATACTAATATTCTAGGGGTGCAAAAGTAGTTAGCGTTAAATAATTGAAAAAAGCGTTACACTAAAGCTTTCATGACGATTCCACAACGATTGAAAAAAAAAAACAAACCGAAATCAAATTCCATAAAAATCCTTCGACAAAACCGTTCGTTCTCGATAAACTGATCGCCTTGTGTTCAGGTACGCGGTTTTACGAAATTGTCCGGACGAGACGTGAAAAACATTTGTCAAACTCGGGCTATAATTTCGTGAGTATATTATACCCGTAGTCGCGTATAATTAAATGAACGTGCGATCGAGTGTCCGGCGATAAGATTTTAGCGGAATACATAGAAAACCGAATAATTCGGTCTATAAAAAAAAAAAAAAAAAAAAAAAAAAAAAAACTACATTTATACATTTATTAAAAAACCCATACATTTTTTCGCTTCTGACGGATCGGTTTTATTATAGGTACTATCATTTTATTTTTACTTTTCGATTGGCGCATATTAAATACGCTCGTGACGTAAATCTCACGGGTAGCGCGATGCAATGTGCGTTTTAAAATGTCCATTCTGAGTGTACCGATACACCGGTTTTGCCGACTGTTTATTTTTCTCCGGCAATCGTTTTTCGTCCAGTGAAAACGGATGGATTTTTTTCACGGCGTTATCTTTAAAAACTGGGGATCTTTTTCTTGGCGTTGCGCTCCAATGCGGTTTTATGGATTTCCAACAGTTTCAACACGAGTTTCAAAAAAATCCGATAGCCGAATGCCGGATACACCGATTTCATTATTGTCGATCTCTTGGTTACCTGTTTGTGGCT